GGTCAGAATGTTTCTGTGCTAACCTTACCTTTGATGTTGAACTGGTCAGAATGTTTCTGTGCTAACCTTACCTTTGATGTTGAACTGGTCAGAATGTTTCTGTGCTAACCTTACGTTTGATGTTCAACTGGTCAGAATGTTTCTGTGCTAACCTTACGTTTGATGTTAAACTGGTCAGAATGTTTCTGTGCTAACCTTACGTTTGATGTTGAACTGGTCAGAATGTTTCTGTGCTAACCTTACGTTTGATGTTGAACTGGTCAGAATGTTTCTGTGCTAACCGTACGTTTGATGTTGAACTGGTCAGAATGTTTCTGTGCTAACCTTATGTTTGATGTTGAACTGGTCAGAATGTTTCTGTGCTAACCCTTTGATGTTAAACTGGTCAGAATGTTTCTGTGCTAACCTTACCTTTGATGTTGAACTGGTCAGAATGTTTCTGTGCTAACCTTACCTTTGATGTTGAACTGGTCAGAATGTTTCTGTGCTAACCTTACCTTTGATGTTGAACTGGTCAGAATGTTTCTGTGCTAACCTTACGTTTGATGTTGAACTGGTCAGAATGTTTCTGTGCTAACCTTACCTTTGATGTTGAACTGGTCAGAATGTTTCTGTGCTAACCTTACCTTTGATGTTGAACTGGTCAGAATGTTTCTGTGCTAACCCTTTGATGTTAAACTGGTCAGAATGTTTCTGTGCTAACCTTACCTTTGATGTTGAACTGGTCAGAATGTTTCTGTGCTAACCTTACCTTTGATGTTGAACTGGTCAGAATGTTTCTGTGCTAACCTTACCTTTGATGTTGAACTGGTCAGAATGTTTCTGTGCTAACCTTACCTTTGATGTTAAACTGGTCAGAATGTTTCTGTGCTAACCTTACGTTTGATGTTGAACTGGTCAGAATGTTTCTGTGCTAACCTTACGTTTGATGTTGAACTGGTCAGAATGTTTCTGTGCTAACCTTACCTTTGATGTTGAACTGGTCAGAATGTTTCTGTGCTAACCTTATGTTTGATGTTGAACTGGTCAGAATGTTTCTGTGCTAACCTTACGTTTGATGTTGAACTGGTCAGAATGTTTCTGTGCTAACCCTTTGATGTTGAACTGGTCAGAATGTTTCTGTGCTAACCTTATGTTTGATGTTGAACTGGTCAGAATGTTTCTGTGCTAACCTTACGTTTGATGTTGAACTGGTCAGAATGTTTCTGTGCTAACCCTTTGATGTTGAACTGGTCAGAATGTTTCTGTGCTAACCTTATGTTTGATGTTGAACTGGTCAGAATGTTTCTGTGCTAACCTTACGTTTGATGTTGAACTGGTCAGAATGTTTCTGTGCTAACCTTACGTTTGATGTTGAACTGGTCAGAATGTTTCTGTGCTAACCTTATGTTTGATGTTGAACTGGTCAGAATGTTTCTGTGCTAACCTTACGTTTGATGTTGAACTGGTCAGAATGTTTCTGTGCTAACCTTATGTTTGATGTTGAACTGGTCAGAATGTTTCTGTGCTAACCTCACGTTTGATGTTGAACTGGTCAGAATGTTTCTGCGCTAACCTTATGTTTGATGTTGAACTGGTCAGAATGTTTCTGTGCTAACCTTACGTTTGATGTTGAACTGGTCAGAATGTTTCTGTGCTAACCTTACCTTTGATGTTGAACTGGTCAGAATGTTTCTGTGCTAACCTTATGTTTGATGTTGAACTGGTCAGAATGTTTCTGTGCTAACCTTACGTTTGATGTTGAACTGGTCAGAATGTTTCTGTGCTAACCTTACGTTTGATGTTGAACTGGTCAGAATGTTTCTGTGCTAACCTTACGTTTGATGTTGAACTGGTCAGAATGTTTCTGTGCTAACCCTTTGATGTTGAACTGGTCAGAATGTTTCTGTGCTAACCTTACCTTTGATGTTGAACTGGTCAGAATGTTTTTGTGCTAACCTTATGTTTGATGTTGAACTGGTCAGAATGTTTCTGTGCTAACCTTACCTTTGATGTTAAACTGGTCAGAATGTTTCTGTGCTAACCTTACGTTTGATGTTGAACTGGTCAGAATGTTTCTGTGCTAACCTTACGTTTGATGTTGAACTGGTCAGAATGTTTCTGTGCTAACCTTACCTTTGATGTTGAACTGGTCAGAATGTTTCTGTGCTAACCTTATGTTTGATGTTGAACTGGTCAGAATGTTTCTGTGCTAACCTTACGTTTGATGTTGAACTGGTCAGAATGTTTCTGTGCTAACCCTTTGATGTTGAACTGGTCAGAATGTTTCTGTGCTAACCTTACCTTTGATGTTGAACTGGTCAGAATGTTTCTTTGCTAACCTTACCTTTGATGTTGAACTGGTCAGAATGTTTCTGTGCTAACCCTTTGATGTTAAACTGGTCAGAATGTTTCTGTGCTAACCCTTTGATGTTGAACTGGTCAGAATGTTTCTGTGCTAACCTTACCTTTGATGTTGAACTGGTCAGAATGTTTCTGTGCTAACCCTTTGATGTTAAACTGGTCAGAATGTTTCTGTGCTAACCCTTTGATGTTGAACTGGTCAGAATGTTTCTGTGCTAACCTTACCTTTGATGTTGAACTGGTCAGAATGTTTCTGTGCTAACCTTATGTTTGATGTTGAACTGGTCAGAATGTTTCTGTGCTAACCTTACCTTTGATGTTGAACTGGTCAGAATGTTTCTGTGCTAACCTTACGTTTGATGTTGAACTGGTCAGAATGTTTCTGTGCTAACCTTACCTTTGATGTTGAACTGGTCAGAATGTTTCTGTGCTAACCTTACGTTTGATGTTGAACTGGTCAGAATGTTTCTGTGCTAACCTTACCTTTGATGTTGAACTGGTCAGAATGTTTCTGTGCTAACCCTTTGATGTTAAACTGGTCAGAATGTTTCTGTGCTAACCTTACCTTTGATGTTGAACTGGTCAGAATGTTTCTGTGCTAACCTTACCTTTGATGTTGAACTGGTCAGAATGTTTCTGTGCTAACCTTACCTTTGATGTTGAACTGGTCAGAATGTTTCTGTGCTAACCTTACCTTTGATGTTAAACTGGTCAGAATGTTTCTGTGCTAACCTTACGTTTGATGTTGAACTGGTCAGAATGTTTCTGTGCTAACCTTACGTTTGATGTTGAACTGGTCAGAATGTTTCTGTGCTAACCTTACCTTTGATGTTGAACTGGTCAGAATGTTTCTGTGCTAACCTTATGTTTGATGTTGAACTGGTCAGAATGTTTCTGTGCTAACCTTACGTTTGATGTTGAACTGGTCAGAATGTTTCTGTGCTAACCCTTTGATGTTGAACTGGTCAGAATGTTTCTGTGCTAACCTTATGTTTGATGTTGAACTGGTCAGAATGTTTCTGTGCTAACCTTACGTTTGATGTTGAACTGGTCAGAATGTTTCTGTGCTAACCCATTGATGTTGAACTGGTCAGAATGTTTCTGTGCTAACCTTATGTTTGATGTTGAACTGGTCAGAATGTTTCTGTGCTAACCTTACGTTTGATGTTGAACTGGTCAGAATGTTTCTGTGCTAACCTTACGTTTGATGTTGAACTGGTCAGAATGTTTCTGTGCTAACCTTATGTTTGATGTTGAACTGGTCAGAATGTTTCTGTGCTAACCTTACGTTTGATGTTGAACTGGTCAGAATGTTTCTGTGTTAACCTTACCTTTGATGTTGAACTGGTCAGAATGTTTCTGTGCTAACCCTTTGATGTTGAACTGGTCAGAATGTTTCTGTGCTAACCTTACCTTTGATGTTAAACTGGTCAGAATGTTTCTGTGCTAACCTTACGTTTGATGTTGAACTGGTCAGAATGTTTCTGTGCTAACCTTACGTTTGATGTTGAACTGGTCAGAATGTTTCTGTGCTAACCTTACCTTTGATGTTGAACTGGTCAGAATGTTTCTGTGCTAACCTTATGTTTGATGTTGAACTGGTCAGAATGTTTCTGTGCTAACCTTACGTTTGATGTTGAACTGGTCAGAATGTTTCTGTGCTAACCCTTTGATGTTGAACTGGTCAGAATGTTTCTGTGCTAACCTTACCTTTGATGTTGAACTGGTCAGAATGTTTCTTTGCTAACCTTACCTTTGATGTTGAACTGGTCAGAATGTTTCTGTGCTAACCCTTTGATGTTAAACTGGTCAGAATGTTTCTGTGCTAACCCTTTGATGTTGAACTGGTCAGAATGTTTCTGTGCTAACCTTACGTTTGATGTTGAACTGGTCAGAATGTTTCTGTGCTAACCTTACCTTTGATGTTGAACTGGTCAGAATGTTTCTGTGCTAACCTTATGTTTGATGTTGAACTGGTCAGAATGTTTCTGTGCTAACCTTACCTTTGATGTTGAACTGGTCAGAATGTTTCTGTGCTAACCTTATGTTTGATGTTGAACTGGTCAGAATGTTTCTGTGCTAACCTTACCTTTGATGTTGAACTGGTCAGAATGTTTCTGTGCTAACCTAACGTTTGATGTTGAACTGGTCAGAATGTTTCTGTGCTAACCTTACCTTTGATGTTGAACTGGTCAGAATGTTTCTGTGCTAACCTTACGTTTGATGTTGAACTGGTCAGAATGTTTCTGTGCTAACCTTACCTTTGATGTTGAACTGGTCAGAATGTTTCTGTGCTAACCTTATGTTTGATGTTGAACTGGTCAGAATGTTTCTGTGCTAACCTTACCTTTGATGTTGAACTGGTCAGAATGTTTCTGTGCTAACCTTACGTTTGATGTTGAACTGGTCAGAATGTTTCTGTGCTAACCTTACCTTTGATGTTGAACTGGTCAGAATGTTTCTGTGCTAACCTTACGTTTGATGTTGAACTGGTCAGAATGTTTCTGTGCTAACCTTACCTTTGATGTTGAACTGGTCAGAATGTTTCTGTGCTAACCTTACCTTTGATGTTAAACTGGTCAGAATGTTTCTGTGCTAACCCTTTGATGTTAATCTGTTTCCTAAAGCTCCATCATTTGAAGTTTGTTTACTTACAGGTGCAGGCTGCTATATCCAAGGTTTCAGTGGAGACCTTAAGGCGAGGTTCTCATATCACTCAAAAGGTTTTAGAGTATGTAAATAAAGTGCAAAATAAATAAACTCTTGAACAGTTGTTGTTGAAATTATTTCAACAGTTTATTTGTTATCTATTTGTAAATTTCCAAAAAAAAACGTTTAAAATAATTTAATCACAAAAATAATAGTTATAATAAAAAGTGGGACATGACAAAAACAATGGGACCAAAAAGTAGGACCTGCCAACAGTAGGACCTGACAACAGTAGGACCTGACAACAGTAGGACCTGACAACAGTAGGACCTGCCAACAGTAGGACCTGACAATACTTAGATTCTTTTGACAAACTATTATTGCCACGGCACCAAATGTAATAGAGAAACAATATGTACATCTCTTGCTTTAACTACTCCAGACTGACAAGGTTGCTCGATAAGATTAAACCTTTATTTTGTCCACTTCATCTTGTTTATAAGATAATGTAGGGCTAATAGCATTAGCTTTTTCTTGTTCGTATGATGATGTAGGGTTAGCATTAGCTCTCTCTTGTTCATATGATGATGTAGGGTTAGCATTAGCTTTCTCTTGTTCATATGATGCTGTACCCTTAAACTCACCAAGGGAAAGAGTTGAGATAAAATTCTGAGCTGATTTCTTAGTTTTGCTAAGTGAATCCATAAGATCCACACTCGTTTCTACATTGTTTTGTAAGTCCTTTTTGAGCAGCTTGTCATGTTGTTCCTTGTTGAATGCCCAATCTTGTAACTCTCCTGACCCAAAGAGTAGATACCAGATGTAGCAGAAGACTTGCAGACCTGCGCTGATGTAGAAGGCCAGTTGCCATGTCTCTCTGCTTTTCTATTGATAGAAAGTAATCAAAGTGTCACATGGCTTTATCAACACATGTATCACAGTGTCACATGGCTTTATCAACACATGTATCACAGTGTCACATAGCTTTATCAACACATGTATCAGTGTCACATGGCTTTATCAACACATGTATCAGTGTCACATGGCTTTATCAACACATGTATCAGTGTCACATGGCTTTATCAATACATGTATCAGTGTCACATGGCTTTATCAACACATGTATCAGTGTCACATGGCTTTATCAACACATGTATCAGTGTCACATGGCTTTATCAACACATGTATCAGTGTCACATGGCTTTATCAATACATGTATCAGTGTCACATGGCTTTATCAACACATGTATCAGTGTCACATGGCTTTATCAACACATGTATCAGTGTCACATGGCTTTATCAACACATGTATCACAGTGTCACAGGGCTTTATCAACACATGTATCAAATCTGTAATAGGGCTATAACTTTTTTTTAGTGCAAACATAGAAATTCTGGGGGATACTTTTAACATGACAGGGGCAAGTAAGTTGACACAACAGTCATCAAGATTTTTGCAAATCTCGATGTTTTACACCTCACTGATACGGAAAAACATAATTTTACAATCTTGTCCATGTGTCTGTGTGTGTGTCTGTCTGTCTGTGTGTAAACACGATAACTTGAGTACCGTTACAGCTAGGTTGATGAAATTTCATATATAAGTATTTTATCAAAATCGTAGATTCGTATCAACTTTTTAGCGATTTCCGATAACCGGAAGTGGTACTTTTTCTACTTTGAATTTTTCAAAAGCCTATAACTTGTGTACTATTTCAGATAGATAAAATAAGTTTCACATGTAAGTAAAAGTTCTAATTCTCTACCTTCAATCAAACTTTGAGTAATTTCCGTTGACCGAAAGTACTAGTTTACGCTATTTCCGATTTCTCAAAAAACGCATATAAATTTATAAAGCATGTAAATTTATAAAGTACTAATAATATTGCGCACTATTATGCACATTTTGTTTATTCTATTTTTAAAAGTTTAAGTAAACAAAAATCATGTCTATATTCCTAGTTGCCATCGTAGTGTTATATTAGAATATTCAAGAAAGTTTAGGGGAGATCACTCCTGGTTTATTTTATTATGAAAAAAGTGTGACAATATTAGTTGGCAAATTGACTCATTGGATATTGTTACAAGTCACAAAGTGACATCTTGCCAGAATGAAAATTTGATGCAATAACAAACTACTAGGCCACAGTACAGAACTGGGGAGTAATTATTCCTGGAGCTGACCCCACCATCTACATAGCTAATCAAGCCACTGACCCAGCCATCTACATAGCTAATCAAGCCACTGACCCCACCATCTACATAGCTAATCAAGCCACTGACCCCGCCATCTACATAGCTAATCAATCCACTGACCCAGCCATCTACATAGCTAATCAAGCCACTGACCCCACCATCTACATAGCTAATCAAGCCACTGACCCCGCCATCTACATAGCTAATCAAACCACTGACCCAGCCATCTACATAGCTAAAGCCACTGACCCCACCATCTACATAGCTAATCAAGCCACTGACCCCACCATCTACATAGCTAAAGCCACTGACCCAGCCATCTACATAGCTAATCAAGCCACTGACCCAGCCATCTACATAGCTAATCAAGCCACTGACCCAGCCATCTACATAGCTAATCAAGCCACTGACCCCACCATCTACATAGCTAAAGCCACTGACCCCACCATCTACATAGCTAATCAAGCCACTGACCCAGCCATCTACATAGCTAATCAAGCCACTGACCCCACCATCTACATAGCTAATCAAGCCACTGACCCCACCATCTACATAGCTAATCAAACCACTGACCCCACCATCTACATAGCTAATCAAGCCACTGACCCCACCATCTACATAGCTAATCAAACCACTGACCCAGCCATCTACATAGCTAATCAAGCCACTGGCCCCACCATCTACATAGCTAAAGCCACTGACCCCACCATCTACATAGCTAATCAAGCCACTGACCCCACCATCTACATAGCTAATCAAGCCACTGGCCCCACCATCTACATAGCTAATCAAGCCACTGGCCCTACCATCTACATAGCTAATCAAGCCACTGACCCCACCATCTACATAGCTAAAGCCACTGACCCCACCATCTACATAGCTAATCAAGCCACTGACCCCACCATCTACATAGCTAAAGCCACTGACCCCACCATCTACATAGCTAAAGCCACTGACCCAGCCATCTACATAGCTAATCAAGCCACTGGCCCCACCATCTACATAGCTAATCAAGCCACTGACCCCACCATCTACATAGCTAATCAAGCCACTGACCCCACCATCTACATAGCTAATCAAGCCACTGACCCCACCATCTACATAGCTAATCAAGCCACTGGCCCCACCATCTACATAGCTAATCAAGCCACTGGCCCTACCATCTACATAGCTAATCAAGCCACTGACCCCACCATCTACATAGCTAAAGCCACTGACCCCACCATCTACATAGCTAATCAAGCCACTGACCCCACCATCTACATAGCTAATCAAGCCACTGGCCCCACCATCTACATAGCTAATCAAGCCACTGGCCCTACCATCTACATAGCTAATCAAGCCACTGACCCAGCCATCTACATAGCTAATCAAGCCACTGGCCCTACCATCTACATAGCTAATCAAGCCACTGACCCCACCATCTACATAGCTAATCAAGCCACTGGCCCCACCATCTACATAGCTAATCAAGCCACTGACCCCACCATCTACATAGCTAAAGCCACTGACCCCACCATCTACATAGCTAAAGCCACTGACCCAGCCATCTACATAGCTAATCAAGCCAGTGGCCCCACCATCTACATAGCTAATCAAGCCACTGGCCCCACCATCTACATAGCTAAAGCCACTGACCCCACCATCTACATAGCTAATCAAACCACTGGCCCCACCATCTACACAGCTAATCAAACCACTGACCCAGCCATCTACATAGCTAATCAAGCCACTGACCCCACCATCTACATAGCTAATCAAGCCACTGACCCAGCCATCTACATAGCTAATCAAGCCACTGACCCCACCATCTACATAGCTAAAGCCACTGGCCCCACCATCTACATAGCTAATCAAGCCACTGACCCAGCCATCTACATAGCTAATCAAGCCACTGACCTTGGAGCTGACCCAGCCATCTACATAGCTAATCAAGCCACTGGCCCCACCATCTACATAGCTAATCAAGCCACTGACCCCACCATCTACATAGCTAATCAAGCCACTGACCCAGCCATCTACATAGCTAATCAAGCCACTGGCCCCACCATCTACATAGCTAATCAAGCCACTGACCCCACCATCTACATAGCTAATCAAGCCACTGACCCCACCATCTACATAGCTAATCAAGCCACTGACCCAGCCATCTACATAGCTAATCAAGCCACTGGCCCCACCATCTACATAGCTAATCAAGCCACTGGCCCCACCATCTACATAGCTAATCAAGCCACTGACCCCACCATCTACATAGCTAATCAAGCCACTGACCCCACCATCTACATAGCTAAAGCCACTGGCCCCACCATCTACATAGCTAATCAAGCCACTGACCCCACCATCTACATAGCTAAAGCCACTGACCCCACCATCTACATAGCTAATCAAGCCACTGACCCCACCATCTACATAGCTAAAGCCACTGACCCCACCATCTACATAGCTAATCAAGCCACTGACCCAGCCATCTACATAGCTAAAGCCACTGACCCCACCATCTACATAGCTAAAGCCACTGACCCCACCATCTACATAGCTAATCAAGCCACTGACCCCACCATCTACATAGCTAATCAAACCACTGACCCAGCCATCTACATAGCTAATCAAGCCACTGACCCCACCATCTACATAGCTAATCAAGCCACTGGCCCCACCATCTACACAGCTAATCAAGCCACTGGCCCCACCATCTACACAGCTAATCAAGCCACTGACCCCACCATCTACATAGCTAATCAAGCCACTGACCCAGCCATCTACATAGCTAATCAAGCCACTGACCCCACCATCTACATAGCTAATCAAGCCACTGACCCAGCCATCTACATAGCTAATCAAGCCACTGACCCCACCATCTACACAGCTAATCAAGCCACTGACCCCACCATCTACATAGCTAATCAAGCCACTGACCCCACCATCTACATAGCTAAAGCCACTGACCCCACCATCTACATAGCTAATCAAGCCACTGACCCAGCCATCTACATAGCTAATCAAGCCACTGACCCCACCATCTACATAGCTAATCAAGCCACTGGCCCCACCATCTACATAGCTAATCAAGCCACTGGCCCTACCATCTACATAGCTAATCAAGCCACTGACCCAGCCATCTACATAGCTAAAGCCACTGACCCCACCATCTACATAGCTAATCAAGCCACTGACCCCACCATCTACATAGCTAAAGCCACTGACCCCAGCCATCTACATAGCTAAAGCCACTGACCCCACCATCTACATAGCTAATCAAGCCACTGACCCAGCCATCTACATAGCTAATCAAACCACTGACCCCACCATCTACATAGCTAATCAAGCCACTGACCCCACCATCTACATAGCTAAAGCCACTGACCCCACCATCTACATAGCTAAAGCCACTGACCCCAGCCATCTACATAGCTAAAGCCACTGACCCCACCATCTACATAGCTAATCAAGCCACTGACCCAGCCATCTACATAGCTAATCAAGCCACTGACCCCACCATCTACATAGCTAATCAAGCCACTGGCCCAGCCATCTACATAGCTAATCAAGCCACTGACCCAGCCATGTACATAGCTAATCAAGCCACTGACCCCACCATCTACATAGCTAATCAAGCCACTGACCCCACCATCTACATAGCTAAAGCCACTGACCCAGCCATCTACATAGCTAATCAAACCACTGAC